TAGATCAATAAATATAATATTACGGTTATACCCATACGGTTTAATTGGGTTTTTATTGATTTATATATATATACATATCTAATCTATATTTCAGTTCGTATGTATGTAAGTAATTATGTATGTAATATGTATGTATGTATGTCCCCTATGCCCGGCCAAACCGCCCAAGCGATCTGGATGCAATTTTCAGAGAGCGACTATCTAATCTATATTTCAGTTCGTATGTATGTATGTATGTATACCCCCTATGCCCGGCCAAACCGCCCAAGCGATCTGGATGCAATTTTCAGAGGGCGATGAGCACGTCTGGGAGGTGCATGGGTCTGGCTGAAACAAAAATTTAAAAGTTAAAAAGTTAAAAATTGATAAAAATTATATTCATCAATAGATGGCGGTGCGTACAGATTAACATCACGTACGTGTGAATCCATGGTGCATAGCCTTAACGGCGCAGTGGCGTAATCGCTAGAACATCCGTCTCCTACACCGGGTACCGGGTTCGAACCCCAGCTGGGGAACCTATTTGCCCCGTTTTCCCCTTTTCCCCTTTACCTCATGTATGTGTGGTATGTACGTTCCTTCCCCCCGCCATTCATTTGTCATCGCCCACGACCGACTCCTGCCTAATGTAATTTCCGTGCGCAGCGTCGGCGGACACGGTGTTTTTGCTAGGCTACTCTCCGCACGTTGCTGTGCACATCAGCGATTCATTCATTCATTCCACGCAGCATTATTAGTGCAGTACATTAGGACATTACGTGGAGTGTGAAAACAGACAGAGCTAACTACATAATCACAAATACTATAACTACAAATCTACGCCGTTCCTTTCGAACTGGCGGACGAGGCTGTCTCGCGCGGCCACCGACCCCTTGCATGGGTCCGTCATCATCGCACGATCTCCACGTCGAACTCTCCATGTGCCAATCACTTCTCTCCTCGAGGCTCGAAGTGCCAGACAAGTCAGCTTCGCCCAAGTGCTGCTCTCGTGTATTGTGCTGTGAGACTTATTGCGAAGCCATCTCTATCTCTCTCGTCAGCATTACTGACGATGTGGAGTAGGCATCCGGTGTAACACGTACATTCGGTCTGCCGCGTACACCAATCGCAGATGCGTTATTTACACGCCGTGAAACGTCGGCAAGAAAAAACCGATTGTGTAAACAGTGATAATCATGCGTGATAGCACACGCGTGCGGTGTGTGTGTGTGTGTGTGTGTGTGTGTGTGTGTGTGTGTGTGTGTGTGTGTGTGTGTAAATAACGATGCGAGGTTTCAGTTAATCTCTGATTGACGTCGTTTAACGTACCGTATCTTCCAGAGAGACCGGGTACAAGATGGCGTTGCGCAAAAGATGCGTTGTTCCCCGACCGCCGAGAGCGGTTAAGCCGCGCACTTCCGCGGGACTGGGCGCACGCGACCGCGGGGTGTTAAATGTAGCATCTCGCGCTGCCCGCTATACGAATTTGCGCGCCGAAGGAGGGCGGGCGTGCGAATCCGTATAGCGGGCAGCGTAACATCGCGCAGTTTTCGTCATACGTACACCGGCTTCACTACGGCGGCAACAGCTAGTCCACCGGATGGCTTGTTTACTATACATGACAATGTGTGATTTGATTCGCCTTTACACGAGAATGCGCGTGTTTGCGTGATTGTGTGTGCGTGCGTGCTTTACAATTGGCTATATAATAGCTACTGCGATGAAAAAGCGCCATAACCATATAGTCTGACTAGCCTATTCTCGTCTAACTAGTATATTATTTCTATGACTATAACGCAGTTAAATACTCAGCTATAGGAGTCTAGAGATAACTTACATGATATAATATTATGACTTTACGTCTGCCAAAAAACGACCAAACCCCATTACTGAATGCGGATGCATGTAGCTATGAATGTAAAGCATTCCTAAAATGTCGATCCCATGTGTTCTTCTGTGTATGCGTATGTGTATGTGTATGTGTGTGTGTGTGTGTGTGTGTGTGTGTGTGTGTGTGTGTGTGTGTGTGTGTGTGTGTGTGTGTATATGTATGTGTGTGTGTGTGTGTGTGTGTGTGTGTTGTGTTGTGTTGTGTTGTGTTGTGTTGTGTGTGTATGTGTGTGTGTGTGTGCGCGCGCGCGGCGTGCGTGTGCGTGTGCGTGTGCGTGTGCGTGTGTGTGTGTGTCTCTCTCTCTCTGCGCACGCGTGTGTGTGTGTGTGTGTGCGTGTGCGTGTGCGTGGGCGCGTTCCCGTGCGTGTGCGTCTGAGTCTGCGTGCGTGTATGTGCGTGCGTGCGTGCGTGTATGTGCGTGCGTGCGTGCGTGCGTGCGTGCGTGCATGCGTGCGTGTGTGTGTGTGCGCGCGTGTTCGTGCGTGCGTGCGTGCGTGCGTTCATGTGTACGTGTGTGTGTAGGCCTAATCATTCAACTATTCATTTATGGAGGTTGAAGGGAAAAATTTGTAGGTAATTTGCAAGTGAAAGTGGAAATTACAGCGATCTATGACAACCAACTGTCTGAGGATTGGAAATATTATGAATTGAAACTCTACAGAAGTAATCGACCAACAGCTAACATAGTAATACATTAATATATTCCTATGACATTACTACTAAATAGAAAGTCTGCTCTAGGTCTAATTCATTGGAAGCAGGAAATATTGATGAGTGTTTCGTAGTTTACCGCCCATTTTAGCGCGGGCGGCTCATTGGCTATTTTCATAGCAGCGCTCTCCACTTTTCACAGACTGTAGAAAACATAGGTTATTAATCTAGATGGCTGTTGCAGGTGTGTGGAAGAAAATGATGGGAGTTTACTCCTTCACTACTACAGCAGCAGACAAGGTCTTTATCCCATCGTTAGAGGCATGATACGCTACGTCGGACAGGAATTCTTCGGCCAGCAGGTACTTATAAGCATTAGTCAACAGCTGGCTCTCTCGTAGACTAATAAGGCAACATATCGATGCACGAGTGCGCTGTAAAGTAGATTCTCTAGTTGCTGTCATCTCCTGTACGTGAACTGACGAAGATATAATGTACTGCTCGCACGTTAATTGCTGTGACATCCAAGTAATCCAATTAGGCTAGAGTACATAAATTACTAGGTGCTGCTCGCAATAACAGGCTGCAGTTATACAGCAAATAACCTGATGTCTTTCAACATCGTGAACACAAGTATTATTCTCTCACTCTATTCATTACATTTGCACTCAAGTAAATCGCGAAAAAAACGGTTAACTATTCCTTTAGATTTCTCCCGTATAAACGAGGGTAACTAAATAATACGGCGTATAGATGTCAAACACGATGCGAAATTGCGATGCGATGCGAGGAATATCCCTGAGTAGTTTATTCAGAGACTGTCATCAGCTGAGTGACAAGCAAGATATCAAACGGTACTTCTCAACGATGTAGGAGAAAGAAAGGCGCTGATTACTGACTTAGGAGAAAAACAGCCGCCCTCCCGTCTATCAATCAAAGATGAGAGACACAGCTGGTTCATTGTGTTCACAGTTATACTGGAACAACTAGTGAAAGCGACATTGTCTGATTGAATGCAGCATCGATCGCCCCCAACCACGTAGCTTAGCTAATTACGTACCGCTATTCACCTGTGCCTGTTATGAAAAAGCCTTCGTTTATTCGATGTAAATAAAGTCTCAGTTGGTACACAATATTATGATGTAAATAAAAGTTCTTGTGCAAGGCCCCGTTATATTGATAATTTTATTTTCTGAAAGATGCCAGATAGCTACATAAGCCGCCAATAAAATTCAAGTTTGTCTTCTAGAAATCGTTCTGTTTGATGTGTTTTCAACTTGTCCGTATTACATATAAGAGAAATGCTAATAAATCAAAATAAATAACTCGATGATTGAATCCATTTAAAATGCTCAAATAAAATAATCAAGTAGCCAGCAACCCCCATTCATCTCATATACTCCTCCATGGCTTCCTCAATGGTGTTTCAGCGTCCCTCATCGACCGCGTTTCCTTCTCTGTCTGTAGGTTGTGGCAAACTTGGATACTGACATCAGCGACACATCTGACCACGTGGTACTGCGGATCACCACGGAGGGCATGGACATCGACGTAATGGCGGACGCCCTTAATCAGAACAGCCTCTCGACCAAGGACAGCATGCTGTCCAACCCGAGCCACAACCCCGCGAAATCCCTGCTCGCGGTCGACACGTTCTCCCGGGCTTTCCCCTTCCACATCATCTTTAATCGTGACCTTGAGATCATCCAGGCGGGCCGGGTCGTGCTGCGCGGGTTGGTGGCGTACAAGCAGCAGCACGGGAGGCTGTTGCTGTCGGACATGTTTGACATCGTAAGGCCGCGCGTCGAATGCGACTTCACCGCTTTCATCGATCACACGCACGCCGTGTTCGTAGCCGCGTCGAAACCAGACGTGTTCGACTTCGGTGGGAGGGCCCGGCGGGCATCCGCGACGCCCGAAGAGGGAGGAGCGGAGGTGGAGACGCTGCGTCTGAAGGGACAGATGATATACATGGAGGAGAACGACTGCATGGCATTCCTCTGCTCTCCTCGCGTGCGCAGCCTGGAAGAGCTAGCGCAACACGGGCTCCACCTTTCGGACATTCCGTGTCACGACAAGACGCGGGCGATGGTGTTGATGAGTCATGAGAGGCGTGGCGAGAGGAGCTTGATGAACAGGTTAGAGGAGGCGTCCATCTCTCTGCAGGTACTGCACGCGAAGCTTAACCAGGAGAAGGAACGAACCGTGGAGGTGCTGATGGAGGTAATCATAGGGAGAGAATGGGAAGGAAGGCGAGTAGGAAGGAGAAGGGCGGGCGGTAGGTGGGCGTAAGATGGGAGGTTTCTGCTGTCATTGACCTGAAGTGTCTTGAAACTTATGTAATAATTAATGTACGGCAAGTTGAAATGGACTACAAAGAGACTAGAAGTGGTGGTTGTGTTTGAATTTTACGCTGTCACATATTAGTGACTAATTAACCTGTGATTTCACGTCATTTCTACGCCGCTTTGCAGATTCTTCCGTCTAACATCGTTGCGTCGTTGCTGGAGAACAAATCCGTGGACGCTGAGCAATACGACATGGTCTCCATCCTCTACTCTGACGTCATGGGCTTCACGGCACTGTGTGCTAACCCGCTCGTGCGGCCCATAGACGTCGTGCACATGTGTGACAAGATGTACAGCTATTTCGACACGTTAGCCGTCACCAATAACATCTACAAGGTGAGAGCCGCAGCGCCCCTTATAGATGAATCATCTCTCGGCAATAACAGTTGCTATATGAGGCTCTCAGGGCCCACTACAGGTAGATAATCCTTTAGCAGCGGCGGTCGCGCGAAATGAGTCTGTATCGATGGTTGCGACATTGTATGCGTCAACTTGTAATTAAAAGGTGGGCGAGTGCATCATTATATCGTCACGGAAGCTCTAATTAAAACAGCGTAAATGCGGCGTATAGTAGCTGTACTCTCTTTCTCCGGTTACTAAGGTAGAGGTCTGCTTTATATATAGGTCGCTTGCAGTAGAATCCTACTGCGCTAGAGGACACAAACTTGTCTGAACACAGGGAACTACTAATAGTAAAAAGGTAATAGAAATCACCGGTTAGCAGTACGCTCAACCCAGAATTAGACTCATCAACAATGACAAACGTCAATAACTGTTAAATAAATTTAGAATTAAAAAGACGGTAAGATTTACCTGTTAAAAATGCTTTTTTTCTGGTTTTTTTAACTATGTTTGTAGTCAGAATTCATTCAGCATTACTTTGATGTAATCCTAGATGTAACATAAACCTGTCATATCCTAAATAATTATTGTTGACACTCGATACCAAAGCGTTGACAATGGGTGGAAGGCGTTCTATTCGAATCATCTTTGTGGTGTTCTCTATGTACACAGGCACGAACACTAGACTAAATAACAGTTCTAATACCATAGAAATATATAGAGAGCAAATGTCTTAATCTAGTATACTTATTTCTATGGTCATAACACGCATGAACATCAAGAATCATACAAAACTAGGATGTAGTTGGCGTTGCATCCTCAATGTATAGCCATATAATTGTGCCAATTCACTTGTACATTTCTGCTCTCTCTCTCATTTTTTTCTCCTTCTCCTCTCACGCCGCCGTTTTCGCGCTCTCTCTCTCTCTCCTCTCCCTCCCCTCTCTCTCTCCTCTCTCTGCTCTCTCTCCTCTCTCTCTCTCTCTCTCTAATCTCTCACTCTTTCTCCATCTCTCTCTCTCTCTCGTCTCTCATCTCTCTCTATCTCTCTTTCCTCTCTCTCTCTCTCTGCTCTCCATTGCTCTCCTCTCTCTCCAGTTCTCTCTCTTCTCTCTCTCTCCTCTCTCGCTCGCTCTCTCTTTCTCGTCTCTCTCTCGTCTCTCATCTTCTCTCTCGCCTCTCACGTCACACTCCCTCCTCCTGCATTCTGTGTGCGGTGTGGTAGGTGTATGTGCGTGTGTGTGCGTATGTGCGTGCTTGCGCGCGCGGCGCGTGTGTGTGTGTGTGTGTGTGTGTGTGTGGTGTGTGTTGTGTGTGTGTGTGTGTGTGTGTGTGGCGTGTGCACCTGCGTGTTCTGTTTGTCTGTCTGGCCTGTCTCCCTATCCGTCCGTCTGTCTGCCTGTCTGTCTGTCCGTTCGTTTGTCTGTCCGTCTGTCTCTCTGTCTGTCTGTTTGTCTGACCATCTATCTCTCTGTCTGTCTGTTTGAGTGCCTGACTCTGTGTTAATCTCAGGATCGTCTAGATGATCGTACACAAGGAGCTCTTTTGTTTCTGTTTCTTTTTGTTACGCAGGACGGAATGCGCGGAAAGCGTCTCGCCGACGCTGTCGAGTCTGTTTCTGTCGCCGCCAATGTCGTTCGTCACCTCCACTCCTGACCCGTCGTCGGTGTTGTCGCCATCACTAGCCCTTCCCGCGCCATCGTTATTAGCCCTGCCGCTGCAGTACCAAGCAGCGGCGGCATGCCGTCGCTGCTCGTTCGCAATCCCCGTCAGCTTCACGCTGGCGGCGGCACCTGTGAGAACGGAGCAGACGCGCAAAGCCTGGACTGCCTCGCCGATATGTCCGCGAGTCGGATCTTTTTGTAAAACAGAAATACGTACGCGAGAATGTAATGTATGTGATGTGAGGCGCGACCAACCCAGGGCCGTAACTGAGCAAATTCCTAGGGAAGGGGGCAAATTTCATGAACTCACTGTGGTAATGATGAGCGACGGGCGCCAGCTCTTGATCGACGTCCATAGTGGGTAGGGTGTCAGGCACTAAGGCTTGGACAAGGCTTCCACGGATACAGTGACCCCAAAAATCACGTTAGTGTTATTTACGATTATTGGCTAAGCTTATTACCTCCGCCACGGAGTGGAGGCGAAGGTCAAATGTAATCGGTCTCGGTGTGCTGTGTGCTGTGTGTGTGTATGTGAGTGTTTTGTGTGTGTGTGTGTGTGTGTGTGTGTGTGTGTGTGTCCAGTCCCGCGCGCGCGATCGAATAAGGCGCGTCGAGTCAGCGAGCGGGCGGCGCGATCGATAGCGTGTCGGAGTCAGCAAGCGGGCGGCGCGATTCGATACGTGTCGAGTCAGCGGAGCGGCGATCCAGCAGCAGGCGAGTGAGTCAGCAGCAACCACGCAGCGAGCGGTCGAGTCAGCAGCCGCCACCTACGAGCGGCGAGTCAGCAGGTCAGGCGCGAGTCAGTCAAGCCCAGCAGCAACAGCGCAGCGCGAGCACTCGCTACACTATACATGTTAGATCTGGCGGAGGTATCACTCTCCGTGAGTGCCCTCTGTCTAGTTTTTTAATTGTGCTCTCAAAATCTAGGGGACTGCCCCCCTTCTCTCCGCTACTATCACTCAACACTGTGTGTGGAACAGACGCGTCATCATCGAGCGATGACTCGGCGCGCAGGAAGTTGAGCATCCTCCTTCCATCTTCTCGCGAAGTCCTGGACACACGAACTCTGCGCGACACGAAGCAGCAGCGCACCGGAAGCTCCTCCGAACTTGGATTGTCGAAAAAATGCGTAATCACCCGTACGTCAAGCTGGCCTGAGAAAGAAAGTGTGATGTTATAAGGCAGCGCTTGCGAGTAAGTGCGATGTTATAGAGGGCGCTGAGAGAATGTGCAATGTATGCGCGCTAACGAAGAGAAATTTGATGTTGATAGAGGGCGCTGAGAGAATGCTGCAAAGTTATAGGCGCGCTGCAAGGAGTGCGAATGTTATACCTGAGATTGATCAGCCACAGTTTGTTAACCGATATTCAGTTTGGAGATTGAGACCGTCGTTCCAGTCTAATAATTGAGGCTGACAGGCCCGGACAATAAACTGAATAAAACTATGCGTATAAACTATAAGCTAGATAATAAAGCTTAAGGCCAGCATCGTCTCTATAGTAGACACTGCGAGGAAGCGCAATGTTATAGAGGGTGCTTCAAGGTTTTATACGTGCCGTGTATCTGACGTATAAGAATGTGGTTTTTAATATTTTTAGGATTAGGTTTGTTCCGTGGCGCGTGATCATGGACGTGGAGTAATGTCGTGGGTATATATGTATATCACATAATCAGCGGAGGTCATAGAGAGTTCCCGCGAATGGCTAGAGGTTCTCTTATATCTTTCGGTGAATAAATAAATAACTATTGTGTATGAATATATATATATATATGATATATCATATATATATATATATAGCGGGAGAGATAGAGAGATAGTGTAGAGAGAAATGAAAGGGAGATAAGAGAGAGCGATAGATCGACGAAGAAATATTGGGAAGGAAATATGGGCAGGCAGTGAAAGCGCACTGCAGAATATAGGAGAGGTCGGCTTAGCTTACCGTTTGTTTCCAGACTAATGTTGACTTTGTCTGCCTTGTCCACCACTGCTCCATGGTGTTAGCTACGGTGGTTCGTGGCTGCGGACAGCGCAGTAACAGCGGGCATCTTACTACCCACCACCCCGCAGGGGGGCGGGGGGGGGGGGGGGGGGGGGGGGGGGTGGGGGGGGGGGGGGGGGGGGGGGGGGGGGGGGGGGGGGGGGGGGGGGGGGGGGGGGGGGGGGGGGGGGGGGGGGGGGCGGGGGGGGTGGGGGGGGGGGGGGGGGGGGGGGGGGCTGTTGGTCGGCCCCGAGTGTATTACAACGACGAATTCGTGAAACCGCATGCAGGCACACGCTCATTTTAACAGCGGTTACGTAATATAATAAAACATTGACGCAGCTTGATATAGGAGCTTATCGGTCGGTCAAGCAGCTGTCTGACTACAAATTTAACTAGGCCACCTATCGCTAGTGATTAGTCTGCTAAGCTTAGATTCCGTGCATTAGCTAAATGCTTTGATCTGAATTTGATAGAATTTTCGGTTGTCTTCGTTCGTAATTCATGCAACGAAAAGCGTCTCTCCAGCGGGCGTTTTGCTGGGAGCCCGTGAGTGAATCACCGCTGAGTGTGTGAGGATTCGTCCTTCATGAGAACAGAATCTAGCCGGCCTGCGCTGTGTAATGAAATTGCTGCGGTTAACCAGCTAACCTTCCTCTCATCACGAAAACACGCCACTATACGCGCGCACACACGCACGCACGCACGCACAGCACACACATTACCGCGCTTTTCCCCTCTCCCTGCCGCTCGCTCTCCGTCTCCCTCATCTCCTGGCTTCTTCTTCGTCTTCCTGCTATCGCCACCCCTCTCACCGTGATCGAGTTTTCTGCACCACCAGGAGACATGATCTTCTTGGTAGCTTGGATCATGCCCGATGCCGCATCGCAACACATCTAAATCGCGTGCGTGTCCGTGTAAGACGCAGCGCACTAAACGGCGACGTAAGCGTCCACCTATAGTCTCCCCCTGAGACAAGCGTCGCCGTCGCGCGGAGAGAAGATTAAGATGGAGAGAGATGTAGGCTGCCGCTTACAGGCGGTTCCGGCGTGCAATGGTGGTGATATAAGATGAGGGGGCGCGGTGAAGGAGCAGCGAGCAGAAGTGACGCAGCAGCAGCAGGAGGGAGGAGCAGCAGGACAGCAAGCAGCTGGAAGAGGACAGAGAGCAGCAGAATGGTGGGTGATGTGGAGGAGGAGGAGGAGAGGAGGAGGAAGTAGGGGAGGAGGAGGAGGAGAAGGAGGAGGAGAGAGGAGGGAAAGAAGAAAGAGGGGAGGATTGGGGAGAGGAGGATCAGAGGAATGAAGAAAAAAGAAGAAAAAAGAGAGAAAAGAATCCTAACATCATGCGATCGTTTCGTGGCGTTATTGATCCATGAGCCATTGTTTTCAACCATTCAAAACCAAACAGTGGGAATAACTACATTGCGCAGCTAGAATACGCTGTCAAAAGGCGGTTTCTGTTGACCTGCCCTATTAATTACTCCAGGATGCGGAGTACGTGCATTCCGTAATTAATCATCCGAGGATCCGTCACAAGCTTCACTATTGAGCGGTTCTCCACGCGTAATACTTCGCCGTATTACAGCCCAGGCACCCGCGCACGAGGTGGCTCAAAACATGCGAACAAGTAGCAGCAGAATGATTTCCATTACTCCATGTTATATATATTATACAACCATATATATATATATATATATATATATATATATTATATATATATTTTACACACACACATATAATCATATATATATTATATAATACAGGGGCAGTAGCCAGGATTTTCAAAGTTGTAGCAGCGACTATTGAGGCGAGCGCCACCAAATTGGTTGGCGCGGAGCGTACAAGGAAATTTTTGGAGTTTTACAACCCCCAGATATGGCGCGGAAACGGCGCTTTCTCCGAGTGTTCATTCTGGTTCGCCTGGCCTCTTGCTAACTTTGAGACGCGCCTCAATTTCCAATCACTTTGAAACCGTCCCAAAAGCAAACGAGTTAAAATAGTACGTAATTCAATACTACATAGATGTATTTAAAATTAAATGCAAG